ATAGATGGAACAAGAAAAATGACTGGGATTTTAGATATGGACTTTAATAAAATAATTGCTGTAGGCGATCCTATAGGTCCTGCTGATGCAGTGCCATTGCATTATGCTGCAACGAAATATCTTAATCTTGATGGAACATTTAATAAAATGACTGGAAATATAAACATGAACAACAATAAAATATTAAATCTACCAACTCCAACAACAAACACAGATGCTGCGAACAAAAAGTATGTGGATGATAACACAGGTGCCCCAGATTTAAGTGATTACTTGGAAAAAGATGGTACTGTTGCAATGACTGGTAATCTTAATCTTGGTAATAATAAAATAGTTAACCTCAGTGACCCTACCACAGATCAAGAAGCTGCTAATCGCGGATGGGTTCGTAAACAAATAGAAAGGTTTGATCATCATTCTGGAGATGGAACAAGTGGTGTGTTTACTATAACAGATCCAGCTGCTCCAACAACTTTGTATCTACAATATATCTCAGGTTCATCATTTGATGATTTTGTTTTTACAACATCAGCACCTGGTCAACCTCTTGTAGGGTGGGCACCAACTGCTAACACATACATTAACAAAATAGAATTTCAATTTGGTTCGCGAAATATAAACGTTGACTTTCTTTGGTTTATTCCCAGAGATAGCTCTCATTCCAATTCTAACTTTTGGGTAAGTGGGAATCGCACTGACACTTGGTCATTAAATATTCACAAGTCTTGGAGTTATGATATGTCAGGAGTAAGACTAAGAACTCATAACAATTCAAATCACACAGCTATCACTTGTAGGCTATTCACTGAACTACCAAAAGCAATTACCAAACCACTTAAGAGAATAGAAATCAATACACCTAAAATTGTAATAAGTGGGGTTGTAAAAGCTGATGTCAACCTTGGTGGTAATAAAATAGAGAATCTGGGTGTACCAACCCAAGACAATGAAGCAGTAAACAAAGGTTATGTCGACAATCTAGTTCATCTTACTGCAGTTCAACCAAGTCATTATAAAGATGAGTTTGCTTATCTCATGTCAAGTGGGGCTCAATGGACTGATGAATCGGATGAATTAGGGTCTAGGTTTGTTATAACAAAAATAAGAGATTTAGCACCAAACAAAGGAAACTTTCACGACTATAATCACAAAGTAATTTACGCGACTATAGCAAAGAATATATTTTTACAAAAATATAAGTATAAGATGGGAATTAATTTTTACAGACTAACTGCAAATACCGAATATACGTTGTGTTTGGAAATACTCAACACTGATTATAATCTTTGGAATAATACTAAAATAAGTGTTGACAGAGGAACTTCAACAGGATTGTCAATTGGAAATGTAGTTGTAAAAAAGTTGTCCCATAGGTATACTGATGCAGCAGGGAAAACACAAACTATGTACTACCACAGAATAATAGTTAATTTCCGGAAGTTGTCATCTGGGAATAAGTTCTTTCTTCACATTTTGGTTGATATTCTTCAGGGTGGATATAACCTGTCTGTGTATCCAATATTGTTTGAAGGAGTTTACATCATTGCTTATGGAATTGAGGGTACATTTAGTAATATCGATCCAGATAAAGTTTACGACTATCACACCGCATTTGATATTAAACCAACAGAAGTAGTGTATAATGTTGATATTAATGCAAATCAAAAAGAAATTAAAAATATCAAACTTGACCGACAAAATGATAATAGTGCTGCAACAGTTGCATTAGTAAAAGAACTAGCTCCTCACACTAAAAATGCTTTGTATAGATTATACTTTAGTGATTTCTATGACTTTGTTGATGCGGATACTTATGGAATAAATATAGGTTCATCTGGAGTTATGATTAATTCTTTGAAACCTAATATAACACTACCTCATAATAAAGACCTAAGTGAAATAACAGAAAAAGGATTACATATTAATGGTTATAATATTACTTTTTCTCCTTCATATTCTTCAAATTATACTTTATGTATTGTTTTTAGTCATTGGAGAAATAGGAGTTTTACACTAACTAAATATTTATCAACAAACAATAATATTTTAGTAAAATTGGATTATAATAAATCAAACAATAAAGTAACTTTAACTGTCAACAAAACAACTCAAAATTTTACCATGCTAAGTAGTTTTAACGGAAAATTTATTGTTTTATGGCTAACAGAAAATCTTAGTGCAAATGTCACAAAAGTTTCAATAAGTAACTACAGCTCAACATTAACTATACCAGCTGTTCAATACAATGCTAATCAACGTTGGAAGTTTACAACTGAAGATGGAGTGATATTAAGATTAATGTACTCCACAAACTTTTACGACACCGACTCTGAGCAATTTCACAAAGTTATGCTTCAAGAAAAGTTAAGTGGAAGTTATGTAGATTAGGCGAACACCCCCTATGACTACGCTGAAATAATGTAAACAAAAGAATAAATGAAAAGAAATAGTAGTAAAAAAAAGAGTATATTTGAATTTAATCATATTGATAAATCTTTATCAGAAGAGCAAAGAGAAACTATAAAAGACCTTTATAAACATTACCATAAGAAACATTGGTGTTATAAAAAATATTATAAAAGCTATAAATTTCTAGATAATTTTTTTACTATTACTAGTTTATCTCTTATTGCTGTTGGCACTATTACAGGAGGGGTGACACTCAATCCTATTATTCTTGGAGTAGTAAATGGTGTAGGAGTAATTGTGGCTGGAATTACAAAAAAAAAGAAGGATTTTAAAAAGAAGATAGAAACAACAAAACTGGCATATACTACTTACGAGAAAGTATTAGTAGAACTACGATCAGCACTCAGAGGAGATGAATGGAGTAAGGAAGAGTTTGTAGATCGTATTAAGATTTTGGATGAAATGATAACTGATCAATGTCCATCGAGTGTTGATAACTTTGTTGAGAAGTATAAAAATAAATTTGAAAATATAGATTAAATATTAGTGTTAATATTTAATCATAAGTATCTAAAGGTATATTTTTGATTATCTTTCTTTGAAGTAGCTGTTTTATAAGATTTTCTTTTACAACAAATGTTAGAAATATAAGTAGAATTAATATCTAATTCTTTAGCAGCTTTTTTAATTGATATAAATCTTCTTTCTTTTCCATCTTTAATACAAGTAGAAATTATTGCCTTATTTTTACTTTTTTCAACATTTTGCTTATGTGTAAGTAATTGAAGATTTTTAATTCTATTATCAGTCTTCACAGGAAAAATATGATCAACTTCAAAACCATGTGGTATTGGACCGCGAAAAACTTCATAAACAAATCTATGTTGAAGATAATTCTTTGGTTTTTCTAGTTTTTTACTGTAAATAATAAAAAATAGATAACCATTAGAATCTTTATTTTTATTTATTATTTTCTTTCTTTTAAGAGAGTAAATATCTCCATCTTTATTTACAGCATAATCAGAAAATATTTGATGTTTATAATATTCTACTCCATCTACTATAATTAATCTTTTATTTTCTTTTTTAAATTTGTTATAGTAACCATATTTTCTAATAGATGGGAGAACTTTGGAAAACACCCACTGTCGAAACATTTTTGCAGCAGGAAGTTTAGATCTAAAAACAAGTTCATAGAAACCTGGTTCGTTGATATAATAAATAAAAGTACAACCGCGTGTTTCACGCGGGTGAACTTTTTTTATTTTATTACTTTCACTTACATGTCTCTTAATAACATCAACTGTATTTTTGTAACCAAGTATTTGTGCTACATCTTTAGCTTTGAACCAAACATTGCAATCTTCATCAATGTATGAGTTAAATTTGATTCCAATATGTCTATTTATAAAAACTTTTTCTAAAGTGTTTTCCATTTTATTTTATATTTTATTTCTTTAAGCTATAATTAATTTTTTTTATTCTAAAAAATAACATAAAAATGATAACTGCAATTTTAGAATATGTTAATCATACCCTTCAGCAAAATATGCATCTTCATCTATTTCTTTTTTATTAAAATAAAATTGTTCTGGAGCACGAGTTTTTTCAAGTGCCTCAACCAATTCTTTTAGTTTTCTTCCTATTACAGGATCTTCAACTTCAACATAAATTTTCATAGGAATGTATTCATCAGTATCTAGTTGAATATATTTTCTTAGCTTATGAAAACGAGTACTCTCTTGGTCTTTTTTCAACTCCTCTATTATTTTAATTAGGTCCTTTGGTTCCTCAGGTTCCTTTGAGTAATCTACTTCCTTAGAAATACAATCTAAAAATTTTCTTTGTTCTAGTGTTACATTGTTTATGTCTATAAAACCAAGTATTCCTCCTAAAGATCTTTCCATTTCAACCAAGTAATTTAAAACAGATGGATGAAGTTTGTATAAAACTTCACAGATATTTTCTAGATTTAACAATGATCTAGGATTAATTTGTATTCGCATTTTATTAATAATATTTATTTTTTTAAACCTTTATAACAATTCCACCATTTTTCATAAATCTCAAAAGTTACAGAACTAATCTTAAGTTCAATAAGTTTATACTTTTCACAACCCATCTCCTCCAAAATTTTTTTGGTTAAATAATTAATATTTATCATTCTCTTTCTAAAGTATTGCTTGTTTAGTATTTCCATGATATGATTATCTATTTTTGTTAGTTTAACATAAAGTTCACATTTTTCTTCATCATTTAGGTTTATTTTTTTAGAAATTTCATTTACCTTTTTCTCATAGTGGTATTTCCTATGATAAATACTCTTTTTTTTATAATGTAACCTATCCAAATCTTTTAAATCAAATAATCCTAATACATGGCCGTTTTGTGTACCACATTCATCACAAATTTTTTGACCTGAATCTATTGTAAAAGATTCAGTATTTGAACAATTTAAACATTGTCTTTTTTCACTAACTTTCTGAATAGGTTTTTTATAATTATTAAGTATAGCTAAATATTTTTTTATTTCTTCTTCTGTATAAGACATTTTATTATTTAATACTTTACTACTTTTAAATATTTTTTTTTTATCTAAAAGCCAAAGTATGCACTTTATCCTCTAAAACAATGCGCTTATCATCTTCATTACTTAGTGCTACTTTGTTTACCTCCTTTGAATATATATCATGTTTTTCACTTCTTATTATTTTCATACTTCTCATTTCTTTCTCACCTGAAAATAGACATTTAACATAATCATCAAAATCTATTTTCTTTTTTACAACATTTTTCTTTATACCTTTACATTTACGAACTTCCCTATCCTCTTCAATTTTAAAACTATAAAGTTTGGGACGCAATCCAACAAAATGTGTTATCTGTTTTCCAGCTACTTCATCTTTAAACATTCCAATAACTTTTTTATTTAATCCTGTTGGTATTCCAGATTCATGATTAGGAGGATAATCAGATGTGTCAAACTTGGTTAAAATATCAGGACTTATATCTTTGTAAAAATCTTTTGTATTAATTAGATAAATAAGACTATCCGTATCTGTAAACAATAATTCTACTTTATTTTTATATTTCTCTTTAATGTATGTGTAATGAAAATTGAACATTAGTGTTTTTGATAAATCTAGAATTGCTTGACCAACATATACTGGTTTATTAAAATAAATATCAGTCTTTTTCATATGTACTGCAATAAGATTTTTATCAAATATTGTTGCTCTTTCAAAGTTTGGACGACTTGTTAATTTTAAAGCTTTTTTACGATTATCTATAAGATGTATATTTTGTCTTTTCCTTATATTTTCTATTGTCTTTCCAAAAACGGAGTTATTCATTAATTTGAAAAAATCTTTCTCAAAATTGTTGGCTGCACGCATTCTAAGTTCAGTATTTTTTCTGATATATGGTTCCATCCAAGAAGACTGATAAAATGATATTCCTCTATGAACAGCAGTTATTCTCATTCCCATTTCAAGATATTGTCTTAGATTTCTATAATGTACAACATAGTTTTTTCTTGGTTTAAAATGACAAATAAGTTTTTCCACACCATTAACAATCATTCTCTCAGGTGCTAGAGGATAGTCATTATGTGATGTCCATAGTTTTTCAGGATACTCCAGATCTACTTCAAATATATAACCTTTTTTTCCAAGATTTGACATACTATGATTTTTTTTCTCCAAAATATCAATTACAGTTTCTTTTGTTAAATCACGCATCCATTTAAATCCATGTGTTGGTAGTTGTTGAGACATTGCCCAACCGTAAAGATTGTTTGCATCGAGATATTGTATATAACTAGACTCTTTATCAGGATTGTAATCTTTCATATATTTGTTATTCGCTTCTGCATATCGTTTTGATATATGTGTTATACCACCACGAATACCTTGCTCAAACATCATTAACATATCATAATCATACAATAGTTCTAATTCTTGACCTGTTTCTTTTAGACAAGCATCCCATGCTAGACCGGGAGATGTATAATAATGTGCTGGATCTAGATTGTAATGGTGGAGACAAGTTTTTCTAAAATTCTCAAATACATCTGCCAAAAGTAAAACATCAGACTTTAAGTAAAGATCGTGATAATCTCTGATTGATTCGCAATTAAAAGTATTCCAAACATTAATAGCATGTTGATAATCATCTTCTGATATACCTTCATCATTTAAGTAGGAGTAAAATTCTTCTTTTGGAGGTAGATTTTTTTCAGATAATTTTTCTAATGAGGAAACATAATCATAAGGATAAACTCCCTTACGAGTTAGTAAATCTACATTCTTCTTAAATACATGATTTGTATTATGAAAATCTTCTGGTTGTAAATTTGAAACAAGATTGGCAAGTGATGTTTGAAGAAACTTGAATGAATCTAAAAATCGTACTTCAAAATTCAATGAAACCATTTCTCCAGTAATTTTAGATTTATACTCATCAACTTTAATCTTTTTCGAAAACGAAATATATTTTTCCTCTGTTGTTGGAATACAGTTTAAATCACCTTGTAAACAAGCAAGTTGCTTTATAAACAAATGTGCGTCATAACCTTGAAGATTATGAAATATAACTGGAAGAATCATTGGCTTCCTACACTTAAGATTAGATTTGTTATGTGCAGCTCCACGGTATTTTCCTGTAAAATGACAATGATCTCTAACTTTGTCAGTTTCTAATTCCATCTCACAAATGTGGCAAAAATTCTCTTTATTAAATGATATTTGTTCTTCTTTTGTTAAACGAAGAGGTTTTGGTTGAATATAAAAATCGTTATAAATACTTTTAGTTACTTCTTCAAGTTTATTTACAAATATCTCAGCTACATTATCATCATTATTGTTTTTTGTATAAATAATTGGTTTAATTGTTATATTTGGTACTATTCCCTTAATATACAAACAAAATCCTGAAGGTTCATGCTTTTGGTAGTTGTAAGTATAAGAATTCTCTGGGTTAGGGCTGCAATTATTTAATGGTTTAGTAAAGCATTCAAAATCTGCATAAACTACAAAAGGAATAGGAAGTTGTTTGTAGTAATTTTTGAAATTTAACATTGTTTTTGGTTCAGGCATTTTGACAACCACTGTTTCTTTATTTGAACAATATAAGATATGTTTTTTTAATAATTCTTCTTTAGTGTAATGAGTAAAGCACTTTTTACAAATAAATATTTTTTCCTTACTTTTGGTTTTTTGAGACTTAATCAAACGATTAAAATTTTTAATTAGCGAATAATGTGAAACACCATCTTCTTCGTATAAAAATAAGTCAATAGTATTTATACAGTCTTTCTCTGTCATTTTCAAAGGGTAAAATATTTTGTTTTCGTTAACTGAAAAAACATTAATTCCTGGAATTTCTGGATTAAGTTTTTCAAATTTGGAAATATCTTTTAATTTCATAGGGAAAGTAATTCCATTAGTGTTAAGAGAATTTTCATACTTTTTCGAATCTGTTAATCGATAATCATTATCTTCTCTTGGATGAAGATATCTTAGTATACACCAAAGAAAACATTTTTCATCTTTGTTTTGAATATTAACTATTGCTTTTTTATTTGATATCCAATCAGGAAGAGGTATGTATGAGGAACCATTCGTTGGATTATATTCAACAGTATGAATTTCAAGTTTATCAACTTCTTTAAAATACCATGCACTTCCAGCTTCTTGATAAGCTTCAATATTTGCGTCAATACTATCTTTACATATTTGAATTAAATTGTCAACATCTGTGGATTTAATATTAATATGTGTTGCTGTATGAAAGTAAGCTTTATTTTCTTCTATTCCTATAACACCAACACTTTGTGAAATATTTTGTTTTTCCATAATACAAACCAATACCATCTTAAATTTTATATTTCGATGATATGTAAAAAAATCTTTTAAATTTTTATTTATTCTCTCAAGAAACTCCATTGGAGTAAGACCAAAAATTCCTTGAATAATATATTTAACAGCAAATTCTTCAAGAGATGATTTTTCTTTTTCAAGTCCTAATTCATAATGTTCAAAAATAGCACGCTCAAGAGCTTTACGTAAATAAGGAGGAGTATCTTTGGGAATCTTTCTATTTTTTATACATTCCTCAAAATACCCATCAAATGTTTTTATCTTTTTTTTATAATGTTGCGTCTCCACAACTGGGTGTTTAGGTTTTTTAATTTCTTTTTTTATATCAATACCTTTTCTTACTTTTTCTCTAGCTTTTACCAATTTTTTATATTGTTTAATTAATCTTTTTCTTGATTGTAATTCCTTAAAATCTTTCTTAAGTCCTTTTTTTTCTGCTTCTATTATATGTCTTATTTTATCTAAAGACATATTCTGAAATTCTTTATCTGTTATAAAGGGTGTACTACCCCACGAACCATTTTCTTGGTTAGACATGACGTCTTCTAATCTTATAATTAGATTAGAAGACTTTAAGCCTTTTTTTAATCACTTTCACTTTCACTTTCAGTTTCGCTTTCAGTTTCGCTTTCATTATCACTATCTAATATTCTATCTATCCTTTCTCTATCTTCTCTATCACTTTCAGTTTCATTTTCATTTAAAGACGCTATATAATGATCCCAATTTAAAGGCTCTAAATAACGATCATCTTCAAAATCGTCTTCATATTTAATGTTAAAATGGTTAATAAAGACTATAAAATCCTCAAAAAAATCTTGAACTTCTTCATCTAAAAAGAAATTTGAATATAAAGGGTCTCCCATAAAACAATACATTTCACTTCTTAGATAAATTATTTCATCAACAGAACTTAATTTTAACTTACTGATATTTTGAAGTTTCCCAACTTTTTGAGCCTCCAAAACATCTTTAAAGTGTCTACGAAGTTCGTTGAAAGTATAACAAATTTTTACTAAAGCTTTATGACCCTCTGTAATATAATCTGCAATAATTAACTTAACCTCTCCACACTTCTTGTTAATCCCTCGAATATAAAGCCATTCATTTTTGAAGTCTTTTGCATATTCTGGGATTTTTGGAGGTTTTTGAATTGTTTTAGAAATACAAGACTGTGCCAGACTACCCATTTTACTATACTACTGAAGAGGACTTAAAACAAACACGAAGGGATCGGCCTGTTTGCAAGAAAATGCTTGGAAACTATGACAAATGTGAGTTTTCTAATTTCTTCCTGTTCCAGTCGCCCAAAATGATTATTAGTGTTTTGGTTACATGGATAATAGTAGACTGTAATTTGGCTGTCAGAGTTGTTCTGTCGTTTTAGTTGTGCGCTGTAGATCAATTCAAAAATGCCCGATTTTTTGCTCGTTTGCAGACACTGAGTTTAGGTCAGATAAAATAAGAAAATTTTAGACTTGTCCGTGGCTGCTTAACAATTCTTATGGTTTTAGAAAGTAGTTCTATGATGTGTTGTACCGCATGCAAAAAATAAACTTCCCTCGTTAACTTTTGAGGGTTCTGTGAGTTTCAGAAAATGGTGAACATTTGCTTATAAAAATGTCGTCCGAGGGGGTCGAATAAAGTGATGCTCGTATCTCTAATACGAGAGCAGTGAAGAACCTATGTTTATTATATTTGTCCTTTACTCCACCTAACCTATCTATGATGTTAGTATGAACTTATTCTGTTGACCCCCTTCCGTTGACATTTTTAACATTTTGCCCGCTTTTCTCTGACAACCACTCTTAAGATGATATCAGCATCCTGCGGACACCGTTGATTTTAATCATAAAGCACATCTCATAAGTCAGTGGTGTGTTCAAGACAGCCAAGATGCAGTTCGTGTCTATGCAAGATTTGGAACAATTTTCTTATTGGCAAGAAAAACGTCTGATGAGTGCGCATTAGTATAATCTATACAATCTAGTGATTTCTGTAGAGTTGACGATATTATATGACTGTGCGGTGGGAAACAACGATGCCGTAGAGGAAATCCAATTAGATCTAACGGTTCAACAGCATAGGGTTGCAGCTTGGAATGAAAGTTTGTTGCTGTCTATGAGCGATGCTTTATTACGAGCACTTCAGCGATGGATTGCAAGTCACGCGTACTCGATAAAAACGCGGTGTTTTCTCTCACTACAAGCAGTGGAATCTATAGCACTCCCGTTAACACTATGTTTAGGTGTGCTGACTAATATTCCCGTTCTTCCCATGGACTGTGTCTTTATCACGAACATTTTTAGCGATGTTAGACTGGCTAAGCTATAACTGGTTGCTGGCACAACTACAATCGCCCGGCAATGAATTTAAATTAGTTATCACGTTGATTCACGAAGAACATGATGTCATTGACAGAAAACAATAACTTTCCTGAACATGCCCGGATGACGTCATTACCAGAACCCCGAGGGAGTTATTGCAGAGTATAACAGTGGGTTGAATTAGTCAGAGTCGTTAGAGATTTTGATCATTCCCAAGATAACGTATCCTAGACCTTGTCCCGCCCGTGGAAAACTCTTCAACAGCAGCCATTCCTTTCAACATAAGAAGAGATGTGGTACGACAGAACATCTAGTTCAGTGCCTATTCTGTCCATTAACTTTTGCATACAAACAGGATATGGACGTACGACAGCAACATTCGCACAACCCATTTCGTTTTCCATGTATGATTTGTGGAACGGAATTAACAAGCGCTAAGAACTTGAGACTTCATGTAGAGACAGTCCATGCATTTCAAAAACCTTGCTTTGGCTGCTGGTACTAAAACGCCACGTTTAAAAGGAAAGCGGACAGACAACGACACATGCGACGTGTTCATGGACGTATCTGTAGAGAGCAAGAAGTCAATTTACATCTTCATTTGCAACATTTAAGTGAAAAGGATGATTTCCAGGACGAATGGATGTTTGTGATATCCAGACCGATTCAATCTGGTGAAAATAAGGTATGCCCCTGTGGTCAGACACCGATACATTCTTTCTTCTTTTTGGAGAACAAAATCAACGGCAGTCGCACCTTCGTGGGTTCAGAATGTATCAGAAACATTGATCCCAAAGCAGCCGCCGTCATTGGTTATTTCAAACATTCTGGAAAACGAAGTGCAAGGATTCTACAAGGGACAAGACAACAAAGGCCTACAGACATTTACAGTCAAAGCAGCGACCACGTTAGTACAACGATTACATGTAGTCGAACATTTAAGCCCACCCCTCATAAAAAACCTGGACGGGCCATGGTAAGTCTCAGTGATGTATCCTAAAGCATAGTCTTTGCTTGTAGGTAAAGCGTATCTTCTTAGGTTGAAAGCCAAGTATGTAAGAGATCAGTTAACTTTGACAGCATTGTAAATTTCACTACTGGTGTAACTAGATTGTTAGTTCAATAAAATCACACTTTTGTTTCAGTTCAACATGGTATGTGTTTATTCACTGGGTGTTTCCAGCTGTTTACAGAGTTGGATATATTTAGACTGCAAATCAGCGAGTTCTTGGTTGAGTTGAACCATGGTAGGTTTCTTAGGTTTTTTGGGTGTCTTGAGCTGCTGTCGATCTCCTTGTCGTTGAACCTTGAGAGCCTCATAACTTCCTTGATCCTCAGCGAGTTTCATTTGCTCCTCTAGTAGCATTTGATCCAAAATCACACATTGCACCTGATAACACGCAGCGTTCACAATGGCTTGAGCATCAGAGGATTGCATCTTTGGGTAGAGTTTAATCGATTTCATTCGCTTTGGAAAAGTCCCATTCTTGAGATGTTTTCTGAAGGTCTTGAGTGCATGTTCACGGTACTTGATTCTAGCTTTGATAGTCATAAATTTCTGTCAGTACTCTCTTAGCACAGCTTCCTTAGTTTTTTCAGTGGGTTCAGACATATCAAAGGCTGGGTCTTCTGTGATAACAGTGATAGCAGACATGTTACTTGAAGGTTCAGACACAGTTTCCTCAGCAATTAAAGCAGACATGTTACCTCAACGCGAACAAAGGTACAACTGATTATTCGAAGCAATCATGGTTTCTATTAATACCCTACTATGAAGTCTCATCAAAAAAGGTATGAAAATGAGGTGAGTGCGAATCTATCATTCATTTTTAAAACACACGTCATCATGTGGATACAGCGGATACAGCGATTGGACACCCGCCGAACAGCAAGAATGGGACAGAGGTATAGAGGAATTAGAGGCAGAACGTGAGCAGAGAGAGAGCGTCATGAAGGCTGAGAACGAAGATCAACTCTCTTGGTTAGAAATGGCGATTGATTATTACCCTTTGTTTAACGCAACTTGTACAAGAGTAAAGGCAACAAACTTGTATATAGCTAGAAGACTTTAAGAAAGTGTCACCGTCAAAAGAGGAGACCCGCATCTTAGATTTTGAAGTCGTGTATCCTCTGTATCACGGTTTGAATGACATCATTGAGACGAGAAAAACAACCAAAACGTTTCTCATCAAAATCGAAACCTACTCCAGGGAACATAAGGGTGTGACCTATACTTGTGAATTTACCCCTGACAAATGGTCTCATGCAACCATGGATCATAATCACAGAAGCTTTAGCGAATCAGTTAACCATGAAAAAAGACTTAAACAGAGGTTTGCTCATGAGCCTATACTTCTGTGAGGAGTGAAAAAGTCTGCGAATAAAATTGATATCGTAATCTCCCTGTGATTTTTCACTGTCGAGGTTTCATCGGCCTCATCGTCCTATACCGGCCTACATCGGCCTACATCGGCCTGAATGCTATAAGTAAAAAAACATCACTCTTGTATCACTATAACTTGTGTTAACACTTCATTGAGTCAACATGCCTTACAAGTTCAGACGAGTGTGTCCTATTTGTCATAGACAAGAATTGCTTTACTTTGCTGATCATTTACGTCAAGTGCATCAGTTATCCAGTGAAGAACGACAACCGCTATTAAAGTCAGCGATATTTTCTCATCAAGTGACTCCTTCGTTATCACCAAGAGTTCAACCTCAAGGATTGTATACCCCTCACATTTTACAACATGGAATACCATCTTATCCTATGGGTACGAATCCTCAAATTACACAGCAACCAAGTCAGTATCAGTGTACTAGTCAGAAAACACGAAAAGTAGCCAAAATCGAAGCAAGTCATTGTTTAGAGACGAAACCTTACCCAGACATTAAGTTTAACCACATGTTCTCGATACTTGTGGTAGGACCGAGCCAGTGTGGGAAAACCTGTTTTTAGAGCAATTGTTAACCAAACCATTTGTCAAGTATCCCAGCAAGAAACCGAGGCGTATTTACCGGCTTTATAATCAGTGGCAATCTCGCTATGCGTCCTTGAAATCAACACTCGGTGATGAGATACAGTTTACTTAAGACTTACCTGCACTAAGTGAAGATCTTAGTGAGATGAGTCCAAAGTTTAACAATGTGGTGGTGTTTGATGATTTGATGTCACAGGCCACAGATAGCCCAGTGCTGTCAAAACTGTTTACCATGGCCGTCATCGCAATACGAGTACCATTCTTTTATTGCAAAATATGTTTCCGAAAGGAAAATTTAACACAGGTATTAGCAGAAACGCCCAGTACATGGTTTTGTTTCGTAGTCCAAGCGATCGTAAGCAGTTTGACATTATAGCAGAGAGGATATTTGCGAAAGACCGTACCGCAAAGCCTTATGGATATGTGTTGAAAGAGGTTTCCTCTGCGGTCCGCTATAGTAAAATGTATGGGAAATCGGCGATTTAGTACGCGAAAGAGGTAGGGACCGTGTGTAAGTTTTTAAAAACATGTTTTATTGACAAACTTATTACAATGTGTTCTAGGTTATTCGTACATGATTTTAGGACCGAATCCTTTGTGTTGTCTAGCAATTGTAATAAGTTCGTCCTGGAAGGTCGCTGTAGGATTCAACAATTCGTCCTCAGAACTAAACGGTTCCGCCTGAGAGTTAAACTCTTCCTCCTCAGAACTCAGAGTCTCTAGGGTTTATAGACTTTCGGTTTTGCCTGCTCCTTGGGAGTACGTGGTTTCTTCTTAGCGTTTGGTTTCGCTTTAGCCTGTTTCTTTGCGGGTTTTGACTGCTTCCGTGTTTTCTTAACCGGTAATTGTGTGGAGTTTACCATGACTCGTTGTTTGGTTTTAACCTGTGGGATTGCGGGTTTTGCTCGCTTCTGTCTAGGCCATGAGAAGACACACAGGGCTTGCACTGAAAGTATCCCGAAGAGCTCCATACCATTCCTTATAATTTTGTTATAAGGAATTGTATGGAGCCTTCCAGGAAACTTTACTTCATTAGCTTAGGCGCGGCGGATTTTTTCACGTATGATCAGCGCGAGGTGTTTTTCTCGACACCCTTCTGTCAGGAAAATGTCATCATATCAAAGGAAACCAGACACAATGGCGTCGGCAGGCCAAGGCCGGCAAAAATAAATAGAGAATAATACATGGTCGCGCGGAGATATGGAATTTATCTTCGAGTGTTCACATCGATATCGAACGAGTGAGCGCAGCGAACGAGTGAGATATCGAACGTGAACACGAGAAGATAAATTCCATATCTCCAAGCGTCCATGTATTATTCTGTTTATTATATAAACAAGAATCAGCCATTCCA